TTAGAGAAAATGAATATTGATAAAGTTTACCTTTATGTACAGAATCTGAATATCGCAAAATATTTTTAAAAATTGCAATAATATCGTATCGTGGGATGTGTGGGGATTCCCACCTCTACTGGACATGTTTGCACCCACTCCCAGCATCTAGTTGAATTGCAGTTTCCTTGCTGAGTGTTGGCTCAGCTGGCATCACAGATCTATGTCTCTGTGTTTGATCTCTCATTAAAAACCTATAGTTTGGCTCTGATTCTGTTTGCACACATCTCACTGGTGGTTTCCACTGTATTCTCTACACGATCGTCCCGAGGCACGCCTGTTCCTCAGCAACATGATCTCCACGTTCATCTGTTTTCTTTCCCATCTTCAGCGTTTGCTTGTATTAAAGTTCCATCGCTGCCATCTGCAGCTTTCCTTCATCTCTGAAGTTCAAACCAGTGTCACGTTGGCTTCTTGCAGCAACTTTCCCTTCACGTAGTCGAACACATGTCGCCGAGGCATCCACCTCCTCGGTCAGCCGCCTCGTCCCCCTGCAGTCAGCACGACGCGCTCGGCGTAGCAGTCGAACTTCAGCAAAGGCTTGTTGTCATGTTCCTCGATGAGCCTGTGCTTATAGGATTTAACGACGGCTCGGCGCTGTCACATGTATGCGACACAGCTTTTGTTCAGATTAAAGTCTTCACTTCGATCAGCCTGTTTAATTTAACACCCACTGTGAACATGGGCCAGATGACGTACCTGTGGAACTAACACTGTGGATGTGGAGGCCGCTCTCAGCAGGTTTCTGTGTGTTGTCAGGATGAGCTGTGGAGGATTCAGGAGAAGCTGGAGTGCTTCTTCGGGGCTCTGGTGGGCTCGAACATCTACATCACCCCAGAGGAGTCGCAGGGCCTTCCACCTCATTATGATGACGTCGAGGTACAACAGTAACTCTGGATGATGTGAGTGATGCCCAGCATACATGTTGCTAATCTCATGCTCTGTGCACAGGTGTTCATCCTGCAGCTGGAGGGACAGAAACATTGGCGTCTTTACAATCCTGCTGTTCCACTGGCAGCTGAATACAGCGTGCAGTCAGAGGACAGTATCGGCATCCCAACTCATGATATCATACTGAAGGTACAGCACTTATATCAGCTACAGCATCTGATTCTGCAAAACGTCTTCTTCTGTTCAAGGTTTAATGTTCATTTTTATTCAAACGTATGATCATCTTTGGGAATGTTCAGTAGGAATGGGCAGAAGTCCCTGGAAGAGCAGTAGCAATGGTTCCTCCCACAGAGGCGACTGTGTGGGAAAAGAAAAGGAGCTCAAATCAGACGTGCTTGACTCTGTTGTCTTTGTTAAATCAAGGTTGAAATCCTTTGTCTCGCACATGGTCTCAAATAATCAGACCCAGTCTTGTCTTACAGACCTCATAGCGTGGTGTTGCTTCAAGTAGTACCATATCACCCTATTAGAGCACTTCACTCTCGCTCTGCAGGCCTACTTGTTGTTCCTAGAGTATTTAAAAGTAGAATGGGAGGCAGAGCCTTCAGTTTTCAGGCCCCTCTTCT